AAAAAACAATCTATTTAGCAGTTTTAAAATGATGGGAATCACTGTATATCAGTATAAAATATTTGGATAACATCTCCACATTAGAAGTTTTTTTTTATATAAATCATACCAAAGATTCTCTATTGTTTGATGCCAGAAAAGGAGTGACATACCTTAATATCTACAATTGATCAGTACAGGTTCACATCTAGATTTTACATATTTACAAAAATAAAAACACATTTTTTAGGATTTTCTCATAGAAGTTTATGATTTTAAAATTCAAAATATGATTCAGATTAAAACCCAAAAAGAAAAAAAATACTGATTATTATTTTGTCAGATTTTAGCTTATGCTGATCCAGTTTAGGACTATGGACATAAAAAAAGAAAGAAAAAATGGATTGCCACTTTTACAACTCTAGTTCTCAGTGCTTATGATCATTTTATGAATATAACTTTAAACTCTTGTAAATATATAAGTTTCATTGCTAATCTGCCACTCTAGATTAAACTGCTGCTTAAGCTGTGCATCATTCCATATAAAGTATCAGTTGCAAATACATTAAAATGACATGAAACATTTCATAACAAATTTATCATTACTATAATTATTTATGATAAATTAGTGTGATTGCAAATTAATGAGTGTAATCTAATCTGAATGTGTGTAATCTAACCTGAATAACTGAATAATAGTATATCAAATCTCAAAAGAAAAATAAAAATTTTTTTATTACGTTCCCTTAAACCTTTCTCATTAATAAGCAATGTCTCCTAATTGTATTAAAATTTTCTTCTTTGTCGAAATAATGACATTTAAAATTTCTTCAAATTTTTAAGATTTGTCACGCGGCAAACTTGAGATTTGTAACATGTTTCTTCAAACACGAGCTACTTTTTAAGGTTAAGTGCGTCTGGCAAACGTGACAGGTTATTCTTCGAGATTATGCGACCTTAAAAAAGTCTTAGATTTTAATGTTTGTGTAAATCGCGCAATATTGAAAAGTGTTGAATGTATTCTGGTAGTAAAATGAATACTATTACGACGGAGGAAGAGAAAAAAATATTCCAATTTTTAAAATCCCACGGGTGTTGTTTAAGATGTTGTTTTCGTTTCATCGGCTACCGCGCGCCGAAATATTATTTCAATCCTTTTGAATTTGCGGTACAGGTAAAATTATTATTAATTATTAAAATAATAATATTGAATAACATTTTTAATAGAAATATCTATAAGATTTTTTCATACATTTATATAAAATTTATAAAATTTATAATCGGTGTTGTCACATCTGCTGCAATAAAATTGTGTATTTATAAAAATATATAAAAAAAACAAAAAAATTATCTATGAAAAGTAGAATCACTAATAAATTTTGACAAATGTTTATCTTAATATTTATATTTAAGTTGAGTTATGCCAATACAAAAGATGAAACCTCTTTGGAAGCACCTTGCATCATATGTCTAGGAGTTCTTCAAGATAAGGCACAAGAAAATATAGTCACAAAAGTGAAGTATAGATAATACATATTTTACTTTGTTATATTTTAATATATGATTTGGATATTTTGTCTTGCTAGTTTTAAATTCTAACATGTGATTTTGATATCTTTATTTATTTATAGATAGCAAAAAAAGTAAACGAAGAAAATTATGATTGTACAACATTCACTTGTGCATTAACTGTTCCTGTATCAGTGAAGCTGAGAGAATACATATTGTATGCTTACATGTCTAAGGAAGAAACTCTTGACAAATCTGCCTTGAGTACTCTTAAAACAAAGTTACAAAATGTCAAAGATATCTGGAAATCATTTATGATTCCTAAACTCGAAGAAATTATGTGCAAACGTGCAGACTTATCGACACCATCGCCTTTTCTAATCGAGGTCTTTTTAACATATGCTGACAATGAAACGATATTTAAAGAATTGTAAGTCTCAAAAATCTATCTGATTTAAAATCAGATTTTCTGATGTAATCATTAATATTAAATAATTTTTGTTGTAAATTGTTTTTTATAAAATTTTATTTTTAGAATGAACAAATATAAAGGAGGCAATAATAAACAAAAAAAGAGGAAGTGCAGTGATAACACATTTAGCAGAAAAGATATTGAAACTATGCTGAACGAGATGACGGATGAGCAACTTATGCAACAATTTACAATTTCACAGATTGTACCGGAAACATTCGTTCATATTGATAATATTTCATGTTCTCACAATAGCATTTTCATAGGAGGTATATAAATGCGATTTGAAAACGATAAAATAATTATTTACGATGCACCACGGGATTTTTTTATACAGTTTCAGAATTTCAGGACGCTACAGCAAACTCTCTAGGAAACTCAGTCAGACACCATGGTTCATAAACGGTGAGAAGAAAGTGGAAACTTCGGTGCAAGATCTGCTCTGCAATCCCATCGCGGAGATTGTAAAAGCAGAATGTATGTTCTAGTATTTGCTTATATTATTATATATAGTTTTTATTTTCAACAAAGCTATTAGATGCTTATGTTTGCACAGCGATAAAATTTTTATCGTCAGGAAGAGAAGACGTCGACGTTAGAAACATACATGATGGCCGACCGTTTGCTGTCGAGCTACTGAATCCCCGCATGACGAATATTACGAGCGAGCTTTTGACGTATCTAATGGACAATATCAATCAGTCGACTAAACAAGTTCAAATAACATCGAATTTAAAAATTCTTTCAAGGTATATTTTTTGAAATTTTATTAAAATTAATAAAACCAAGAGTACAATACAAAATTAAATAATCATAATAATAAAAATAATTGTCGAGGTACAAATAGTTCGATTAATTTAAACTAAAAAACTCGATTAAATAAGAAAATTATATCAAATATATATACATTTCTAGGCTCGATTTGAAGAAACTCAAGGAAGGTGAGAATGTTAAAACAAAGTTCTATCGAGCACTATGTATCTGCCGGAATGTCAATGGCGATTTACCGCGATTAGAGCATTTGAACAATCTGAAAAACATTAAAATCATTCAGAAGACACCGTTGAGAGTGTTGCACAGACGGCCTTTGAGTCCACGGACGCGCGTTATTTACGAGATGCGGGCGCGTTGGGCGAAACCGCATGAGCTGAAGGCACTGCACACTGCCGCCGAAAGTACTGACGTGTTTTTCATTCTCGACGTTAAGACGCAAGCGGGTACGTACGTGAAGGAATTCGTGCACGGAGATTTTGGCAGAACTAATCCGAGTCTATGTAATTTCATCAATGCCGAAGTGGACATTGTCGCGCTAGATGTCACTGGTATTAATTTAATATGGCCATGACACAAGTTTAATTCAATAAAATATTCTACTTAATTCTATTATACTTTATTTTAAAGAAAAAAAGATTACAATAAAAACGTCACAGATAAAACATACGCTTACATCAATAAAGATTAATATCCCTTCCAGTTTAAGCTCTCGGTTTAGGCGAATCTTTGTGTTCTATGATCCAGGGATGTCTCTTGACTTCAGCCAAGGAAATTCGCTCCGAACTTTTCTTCTTAATTAACTGTAAGAAGAAAATTTTAAATTAAAGATTATTATTATATTTATTCTAATAAGATATATAAAATGCAAATTCTTACCTTAGATATAAGATCTTTGGCTGCAGGTTTGATCTGTTCCGGCCATAATATATTTATAGTTTTTATCTTCGTGTATGTTTCTTGGGTGGAGTTACTTAGAAAAGGGGGTTGTCCCGTGAGAAACTCGTAACAAAGAATTCCTAAGCACCAATGATCAACATAAAAATCATAAGTTTGTCCCATTATCATTTCCGGTGGTAAGTAATCCAATGTTCCGCACAATGTGTCTCGTCTGAAAAAATTGATTTAATTTGGTTAGAAATTTGAAAGCGAGATTAAGATTACTAACATTATTAGGCAAGTAATTTCACTGAAGAATTGTAAACTGTAAATTTTTGCATAAAATAGTAGCTATTAAAAACTAAAAAAAATTTTATGCTTACTTTGAGGATGGTGCATGTACAGACCATCCAAAATCTGCAAGTTTTATATCTCCGTTATATGTAAGCAACAGATTCTCAGGTTTTATATCTCTATGAATCACATTGTGTCTGTGACAATACTCCAGAGCATCAGCCACTTGATAAGTATACTTGGCAGATCTAATGAAAAATGTTCGAAATAGTTTTTAAATTGTATATATATTTAAATAAGTACAATAACAGATACATACAAGTGCTCATTGAATCTCTCATTTGGTTGACGTTTCAATTCTTTATATAATTCACCTCTCGCTGCAAATTCCAACACTAAATAGATTCTTTTTTTGTCATGAAAATATGTTAACAATTGAAGAATATGTGGATGTCTGCAAACAAGAATAAAATAATATTTATGTGAATATTATGTGAATATTTATGAAAATATAGATGGCACATTTTACAAAACGTGATAGTTATTCATCATATTCTAAATTCTTTTTATTAATTAATAAAAGTGACTTAAAGTCAATCAAAAGACATAAGCCACTTTTATCAATAAAAAAAAAAGAATTCAGAATATAAATTGATGTGTATATATCTACTTCAAATGTGATTGTATTTCAATTTCTCGCATCACTTGTTTCTCCACACGTCCTCTTGTTAGTTCAACTTTGTATAATATCTTCAAGGCAACCATGTACTGAGTAGTTTTCTCTCTTGCAAGATATACGCGACCAAATTTTCCTCGTCCTAGAGGTGCTCCAATATCAAAATCTTCAAGCTTCCATTGATAACTATAATATAAAAAAGAATAGTGTGTAAACATTTAAAAAAATAATCATTTATAAATATTTTGTCACAAATAAATAATCGGACGATATAAGCCAAGCCAAGTAACGGAGGTTAATGATATATTTGAAATTATCAAATATACATAAACAATATAATATTAGTCTAACAAATAATAAATATAACAAATCAAAAACATATGTTTTAACCATAAATGTGGTCTTCTTCAGTGTGTAAAAAAATGAATTCACGCAAAGAAATTAACAGTCAATTAGAAATGATGAGCGCCTTGCAGTTGTCCATTATTTAAAAAAAATCCTAACTACTGTAATAGAGTTTCCGAGATGCATTCCATATAAGCATTGTATATCTTGAGCAGATGTGATCAATAATATAAATAATCTAAATGATGTAAAGAGAAAGAAAAAGTGTCTAAAGTTATAAAATTTAAGGATGTGGATAAGAATCTAAGCAAAGGATAGAATAATAACATAAAATCGTTAAAAACTAGTGGTATGTCCAATTATAAAAATCGTGTATAATTACTGAAATAAATTAAAGGTAAACAGGAATAAAATGTATTATTATATAAATATTGGCTTGTGTAGTCCGATTATTTATTTGTGAATTTATTATTTATTTTATTTTATTTTTATATTTATTTTATTTTTGAGCCTCTATTATAACTAATTTAAGTATTTTGTATTTTGTCGTATTTTAAATATTTTATATAATTAAACTTAAAAAACAACTGACATTTAGAATTTGAATTTAACTTGTGGTACTTAAAAAGTTCATTATATTGACTGTTATTTAAGAGCTTTATTATTTATTTAATTCTATCTAATTGTAACAATTTATGTACCTTCTATCCCTAGTGGCAACATGTTCCAGCATCTTATGTATTGTATTTTCAACAGCTTCTTTGTACTCAGTAGGTACTTTTATCGTTAACTTTTTAGATGAAGTATTCATCATGAATAGTATATGTCAATTATACAACACTGAAAAAAATCAATATTTAAGTAAAAATTGCTTCCTTTAAATTCACAATCAATTACTGAAAATTAATAAATTCATAAATGTAAGAAAATTATTAAGATGTATACAAATATTTATATAAAAATGACAAGATTTTTGTTCTTTATATAACAATAAATAAAACTAGACAAAAATATCAAAAATATTCGTGTAATGCAATAAGTAATAATCGAAATAAGAATTTTCTACCATGAACTCATCAATGTTTACTATCTAAAATTTTCACGGAAGAATCTTAATTATTATTCATTCAAGATGTAAATATATGGCAAATTATATAATTACCAAATATGAATATTGATGCACACAATTCTGAAACGTGATAAATGTGTCAGAAAATAGCAACGAAAAAATTTATTCCATTGTTACAAGCATATTCCGACATAACACATTTCACGATGCCAGTCAGTAACTGACATTTCCCTCGCATTTGAATTTTCAAAGTGCCAGAAGAGTTTATAGAGACCCCTCTCGGAACAATCGCAAACTACTCAAATTGCGTTCCGAAATTGAAAAAGATGTCCATTGTATTCCAAAACTTATTGGAAAAGATATCTTTGGTTTTTACATTACGTTCCTAAATTCATAAAAATACTACTCGTATCATTGCATTGTAAATTCTTAAAAAAAAACTACTTCGATTTTCATTATAATTTTATTCTACGCATGCGTCATTGCATCAAAACAATTTATAAAACACTTTATTTATTTAAATTATATTCATTTATCACGAATATCAGCGAACTTGAAAATAATGAATTTTAACAATGACAATATAATAAAATGTTTTATTGCCATTTTATTAAATATTTTTACAGCAAGGAAAATGTCATATTTCAGTATAAAATATTTTCTAACAACTAAAAATTTACATAAAACAATTGCATTTATATATTTATTTGAAAATTGCCGCTGTTATGTGTCTAAAATAATACATTTAATCATTCTAGTATATTTTAAAATTAAAACCAAAATGCTATCTTAATATCTTTAAAGTTGTATAAATGTGATATTTTCTTCGTAGTAGCACATACCTTTTCTATAATACTCGCATCGTTAGGCGTATTATTTTCTAACAATAAAGTTCTATGTAATTCTTTAAATGTATTTGTTACGTTAGACAAAATTTAATCGCTATGTATACTTTATTTCTTAATAGAATATATACTAAATAGCATCAGCTGGTTACACATTTAAATATTGTAACTAAAATTTAACATTATATGTATATATAACGAAGAAATACAAACACGAAAGTTTAAAAATATATACATGCAAATAAATTACAGTTTTATATATATATATATATATAAAAGCAAAGATTTTTATCCATTGCTATAATATTCGTATATAAATTATACAAACTCTGCTTGCATGTGTGCGACATCATCCTGCTTTAACAGAATTAACAAACGTAAAAAAATTAACGATATATCGATAACATAAAGATACAAATAACAAGAGTAACAAAAAAACATTTTAGAGCATAACAGTAAAGTATATTAAACATACACGCGATAATTTATTCAATGTAAATTCCTCGCCGATGATCCATTGAGATGCATAACGATCGGTGTAAAGCAAATGTCATGCGAGGAAAAATATTCGCGCAAAAACAAATACAATACATTACGTTACTTCCTCAACAAGATAGATTAAACGAATGCATAATGCCTTCC